CCTTCAGTCCTTTCCTCCCAGCTCCTCCTCCTTTGGCCCCACCCCTTCCTCCCCTGTAGCTCCCCTCCTTAACCACGCCCCTCTATCCCCTCTAGCTCCTCCTCTAACTCCACCCTTCCGCCCCAAGCCCCCTCCAGCTGCTCCAGCTGCCAGCTAGCCCACGCGGACTGTCCTGAGGCCGTTCGCAATGGCCTCCTCCTCCTCCTCGGGCCTTGCTGCCCTCTGCTTTCTGCCCTGCAGAAAGCCTGCGGCTCTGGGTGCTGAGCTCCGTGGAGGACGTGCTGCCGAAGGGCCCGACCTTATGCTGCCCCAGCTGGTGAGGCTACCCAGTCCCTGAAGCCGACCACCTGGTCCTCCACCCGGAGGGGACAACACCGTGCCTTTGCCCTGGAGGTGGGGCCGCAGTCACCTGTGAATGATGTTCATCTGGTGCAGGTAGTCCAGTGCGTCCAGCACCTGGCCTAGCACGTTCTGCAGCCACTGGGCAGGGAGCAGGATAAAAGGGGCTCAGGAGCCCTGGTGGCGCCATGGTTCAGGACGCGGCTCCGCAGGAGAAAGAGCTGCCAATCCGATCCAGGACAGAGACAGGTCCTGCCTGGGTCCCTGCTGCCCCCACTAGGCTGTACCACTGAGGACAGACCAGGGTGACCGGTGCCCTCAGACCCCTGCAGAGGGCATAGCCTTTTCCTCAGCCTGGGGCTCCCTGGTGCCCACTCCTGTCTCACACTGGGCACCCCCACCCCGACCACACTGACACTGTCCAGCTCCTGCACAGAGTGTGAGGCTGATCATCCTGGCCTAGCTGACCAAAAGGAAAGAAAAAAAATCGATGCTTTTAGTGCCTGTTTGGGGGGCTCCCCCATTGTCATTTGAATGAAAGAAGGTTCTGGAAGGTGTTTGTGTCAGGAACAAGATCCTCCTAGTTTCCAGGGCAGTGTTCCTGTTGGCACAGGGGTAGTTCTGTGGGCTGCTCACCGTTAGGTCAGCAGTTCAAAACCACCCACCGCTCCTTGGGAGAACGACAAGGCTCTCTGCTTGTGCCTGACCAGTGACTGTCTGGTCAGCACTTTCGCGTGGAAACCCACAGGGGCAGTCCTACCCTGTCCAGTAGGGCTGCTGTGGGTGTGAACGGAACTCAGTGGCAGTGATTTCTTACGCTTTGATCTGCAAGGTCCCAAGTTCCAAACCACCAGCTGCTTCTTGGGAGAAGGATGGGACCTTCTATTACCATAAACAGCGAGAGTCTCATAAAACCACAGGGGCAGTCCTAGCCTCTCGGGTCACTGTAAGTCGCCATCCACTTGATGGCAGTGAGTTTGAGCCCAGGAGGCCACACCTAATGCTTCAGGCCATCTTGGTGGGTGGGGGTTAGGCAGGCAGGACCCCCTCCCCGCCAGCAGTTACAGCAGTCTTTCTAAATGCCCTGGGCTTCTGGGTAACATTTTATTTTCAAAGATCCCACCACGGGGAGTAGGTGGGAAACCCACTCCAGAGCCCGAGATACCGGTGGGGGCGGGACTGTAGGCCTGCCAGAGTCCTTCTGAGGGGCCCAAACCTGAGGTCCCCCAGCAGAGGTGTTCCAGGGTAAAAGCAGGCCACACTCAGTTTGGGTGTAAACCTGAAAGCGAAATGTCCAAACTTCCTGGAGAAAAGTGGGACTTTATCCTCCCTAAGAGCTTCTGCCCGTCACCAAGGAAGGGAGTCTGCACGTCACAGTGCACACTCGTGTCCTCCTCCCAAATTGGAGCAGACAGACAGCCCAGTTTTTAGAATGGGCAAAAGGCCACCAAGCACAGAAGAAGACATCCGAGTGGACACAGCTGGGCCACCAATGTGGGCAGCCTGAAACCCGCCCGGGGACTGGATGGAGGCTGTCGAGGGTTTTGTCAGGCGTCAGAGATCAAAGGACACATTGCATTGGGGCCATCTGGTGCACAAGACTTCTTCAGAGTATTGAAGAGCAAGGAGGTCACTTTGAGGAC